ATGGGGGCAGTCGACAGCTCGTGCTCGATGAACTCGTCCATGGTGTGAGACTTGAGTGGGCGGCGATCAGACTTCTCTTTGCGCTCAGAGGGCATGATGGTAGGCGCAATTCTCGGGGGTCGGTAGACGCCATTCTTCGCAGCGGTTGCAACGGCAGCAGAGGCAGCGGCTGGTCTGACAAAGGCATCTGGCCGAGCTTGAAGATGGGCTGCCTTCATCTCCTCCTCCTCTTCGTCGCTGCCAGATTCTCCGTCGGAAGCAGAGTCGTCAGAGTCGTCTGAGCCTGCACCTTGCGCGGCCTTGACTGCTTGGGCGTTCCGTTCGGCGTCGTCCGCGGCGCGAAGAATCTTCTCGATCTGGTAACGCAGCTTGTCTTCAAGGGGCCGGACACCCTTCTCGAGGTACAGTCGGAGTTCGACCAGCTTCTTGACAACCGTCTCCATAGTCTCGCCGGCATTGTCATCGTCGCGGGATTGCTTCTTGGCGTTGCGCAACTTCAAAAGGATCAAGAAGACCAGGTTTTGCAGGTACGATGCAAGAAGCTCGTTCTTGGTATCGAGAAGTGAAATTCCATTCTGAGGCGACGCAATTGAGCCTTTTGGTGCCGCATCGAGTGATGTCGTCAATGACTGCGTCAAAGAGTCCAGCAATGCTGGAAGGGTGCTTGGTGCCGCCATTGTAAATCTGGCGATGCTGTACGTTGTTCGTTGAAAACTTGAGATCGCAACGGAACAAGAGCGCGGTGCAGGATTTTTTTTTTGCAACTGCTAAACTGATCTGCGCTATTGCGGGGACCGGTGCATCGGACCTTGTGGACCCCGACCACCGGTCTCCGCTACGTACCTAGGTATGGATGTTTCCATGCTGAGGTGGGTTCCTCAGGCCCTTGGAAGGTACCGGGCAGCCGCAAGACCCCGGACAGACAATGTTCCGGCTGGTCTATTACCTGAGGTGCGACGGTATGGAAGGTACCTAGATGCACGTACTTCTGGAGCTGAGCTGCAGGGGTGAATGGTGACTAAGCCATATTTGGGACAGTTGTTCGAGAGGCAGCAGGAGCTCCTGTAAATGAGATACGAAGCTCCCGGACCTGATACAACAAAGGCAATTGGCCATCTGTCCACCACGAAGCAACTCTGCTTCTTGCACAAACATCACCGCGAGCTCGCCGTGTTCTTGACGAACCGCTTTTACCGCCATCATCCAGGTGCAGACGGAACCCGGATGACCCACCGGCTATAAGCCGCTTTCCGCTACCTGGACCTTACCGAGAACCAAGGGTACGTAATCGCGATCCATCCATCGGGGTAGCTATTCCCATCGGTTTCATGTTTCACGCTACTTTGCCTCTGGCCACCATCTTCTCTTTCGCAAAGTATCAAGACTGATCGCAACTTTTGGGCAGAGCTCCGACATCTCGACACGATGCAACTACGAGACATGGCGCCTTCGTCGGCGCTCGTGGCCTCTTTGCTGGCTATCCCACAGCTCGCTTCCGCCTTCTACTTGCCAGGTGTTGCGCCCACTTCTTACAAGAAAGGCGACGTCGTTCCTCTCTACGTGAACAGCATCAAGCCGGTCGCCGCTCCCTCCGATTCTCGATTGCACTCAATTGTTTCCTACGACTATTACCACCCTGGCTTCAAGTTCTGCGAGCCCGAACCCCGTCCCGAGTATGTGTCGGAGAGCCTGGGCAGTATTCTCTTCGGAGATCGCATCATGACCTCGCCATTCGAGCTGCGCATGAAGAACGACGAGAAGTGCAAGCCACTTTGCATCCAGAAATACCCCCCGGCGGCTGTCGGTTTTGTCAAGCGCCGCATCGAGCAGGGCTACAGCCTGAACTGGCTTGTGGACGGCCTGCCCGCCGGACAGCAGATCTACGATGACTTTACGAACACGACTTTCTACAACCCCGGATTCTTGATGGGCGGCGAGGACGAGAACGGCAACGTCATCTTCAACAATCACTACGACATCAACGTTGAATACCACGCCGTCAACGGCGATCAGTCGCAGCTGCGCGTCGTCGGTGTCGTTGTCGAGCCGAGCTCGCGTGCCTACCCCGGTCTGCTCGACTGCAATAACCAGATGGAGCCCATCATCTTCGAGGAAGACGGCACTGAGAAGGAGGTCAAGTTCTCGTACTCTGTGTTCTGGATCGAGTCCAAGACAGCTTGGGCTACCCGTTGGGACAAGTACCTGCACGTGTTCGATCCCAAGATCCACTGGTTCTGGCTCGTTGACACCGCAATTATCGTTATCATTCTGATCCTTACCGTAATGTCCATCCTCGTCAGAGCTCTGAAGAAGGATATCGCGAGGTACAATCGCCTTGACCAGATCAACTTGGACGACCTCTCTGGTACTTCGGCGCTAGAAGATGGCGTACAGGAGGATTCGGGATGGAAGTTAGTCCACGGAGACGTCTTCCGCAACCCTTCGAACCCTCTCCTGCTCTCGGTCCTGCTCGGAAACGGTGTTCAGCTTTTTGTCATGACGGGCTTCACCATCTGCTTCGCCCTTCTCGGCTTCTTGTCGCCCTCTAACCGTGGATCCCTCGGAACAATCATCCTGCTTCTTTACACCATCTTGGGCTTTGTGGGTGGCTACATCTCGGCGAGAACGTACAAGTCGCTGCAGGGCGAGAAGTGGAAGATGAACATCGCGCTGACCCCGATTCTGGTGCCGAGTATCGTATTTGGTGCCTTCTTCTTCCTCGATCTCTTCCTCTGGGCGAAGCAGTCTTCCGGCGCCGTGCCCTTCACTACCATGCTGGTCATCATTGCCATCTGGTTCATCCTGTCGGTGCCTCTGTCGTTCGCCGGATCCTGGATGGGTTTCCGCGCATCTCCCGTTGAGGCGCCTGTCAAGACCAACCAGATTCCTCGCCAGATTCCTCCTGCCACCTCCTATCTTAGACCGATTCCCAGCATGCTCATTGTCGGTCTCCTGCCCTTTGGCGCCATCTTTGTCGAACTCTACTTCATCATGAGCTCCGTCTGGTTCAGCCGTATCTATTACATGTTCGGCTTCCTATTCCTCTCGTACGGTCTCATGATCGTCACAACTGCTGCCGTCACCATTCTCATGGTGTACTTCTTGCTCTGCGCCGAGAACTACAACTGGCAGTGGCGATCATTCCTCGCTGCGGGTATGAGTGGTGGCTACATCTTCCTTAACTGCCTTTTGTACCTGTTCACCAAGCTGAACTTGAGCAACCTGGCGGGTACCGTCCTCTACGTTGGCTACAGTGCTCTGATCTCCTTCTTGTTCTTCATTCTTACTGGTAAGCTTGCCTGCCACCCCTCAGCTTCGATTTATACTAACCTCGCTTCGCAGGGTCCATTGGCTACTTCGCAAGTTGGTGGTTCGTCAGGAAGATTTACGCCTCCATCAAGATTGATTAAATGGCATTGCATTCGGGCGTTGACATCCGGCGACAGGTTCATGCTATTGTATCAATGTTTTTGTACGAATACTCACTCTCGTCCCCCGAGCGTTGCATTGTAGTATTGATGACACGCTTTGGCCTAGGAGCAGAGCGTGGTTGGTCATGAGGTTCAAAAAATGAGATTCTTTTTAGATGGTAGACGGCAGGGATTGGTAGACGGGAGCCAGCTGCCTCCAGCTTTGAGTAAAACAACAGCGCATGTACAGTTCCCTTCATTTGATTTGTCTTGTGCGAATAACATTGTAGGATATTTCCCGTGGAATGGCTCCTGGGCTACTCGTCGTCATCGTCGTCGTCCATGAGACTCGTAAACTGGAACTGCTTGCTCTTGCCAGCCGAGGACGCGCCGGCACCAGCGCCAGCAGCCACACTGTCGCGCCGGTACGCCTCCTGCTGCTCGCGGCGAATCTTCTCCATCTTCTCCGCGTACTCCCGGTTCTTCCTCTCAATCTCGGCCTTCTCCTGCTCCTCGCGGACCTTGCGCTCCTCTTCCTCTTTCCGCTTCGCCTCGGCAATTTGCTGCGGATCGTAGCCGCGGGGATCGGTGCCCGAGTCCGCGAGGTTTTGATACATGGCCATGGCGCCGCCGCGGATCATGCCCTCGCTCGGCCAGGGCACGAACGTTGCGTTGAAGTGAGGGTTGAGGTGGTTGCGCAGGCCGTCGGGCAGCGAGGTCGCGGTCGTTTGCTGCGTTCCTGGGAGGAGGTCCTGCGAGCCGCCGACGGGGCTGCCGTTTGCTCCGCCCGAGGGGCCTGGAGTCTGACCCTGGCTGGGTGTCGGGGCGGCGCTTACGGGCTGGCTCTGGAGGCCGTTTGCGCCGGGGGTGTTTGGGTTGGTCGTCATGCTTGCGTTCGGGTCTGGGCCGGGGGAGCCTCCGCCGGCGGTTAGGCCGCCGTTTGTGAGGGCGGCGGGCGGGAGGGTGGTTTTGCTGATTCGGCGGGCATAGTTGAGAAGCTCGTCGTATTTCACGGGGTAGTTGGGTCCTTCGGGGTGGACAGTGATTTGGGTCGTGGTGATGTCCTTGCGTGTTGTTGCTAGACTGGAGAGCGTCTCTCTGATTTGCGTGTCGAGGGAGGTAGTTGTTGCTCGGAGTTGCTGCAGGCGAAGATTGTTGTTTTGATGGATTTGAACTGTGATCGTGGGATTAGCACGGTAGCCTGGCAGCTTGTGTCGGAGGTAAGCTTACCCTCGTCGAGGCCTTTTGTGAGGTCATGGTCTGCTTCGTGGAGGTCCAATGCCTGCTTGGCGTGGGGATGATATTTGGATACCGACTCAATCAGAACCGCAAGTGCTTTCTCAACGCGCTCGAAGCGCGCGTCAATAATCTTGTCCATGGCTGTGGTCGGAAGTCGTCGATCGGCCGAGATCGCTGGTCTAGCTGGTGGTGTGAAGGAGAGGATTTGGGTGCAAGGCTGAGTTGAGCTCCGCTAGACCGTACTGTAGGCCCACCAGAGGCAGCACGCCCATTGGCTCCGGGGTTCAATGCTCGCTCCCAGCCTGTAGCCTGAGGCGCATTGGAAATCCGGCCGGCTTTTCCCGCTAAGAAACTCGCGCAACATCACCATTCTTTCACGACCTCACTCTTTTGCATCTGCAATTGAATACCCCACAGTTCGTTCGCACGACCACCACAGTCAAGATGCCTTCTCCCGTAAGCCAGACTGCTCCCTGAGCTCCCACGCTCTTGCTTCACGCTTCTGTGGCCACTCACACATGACAAAATACTGACAAAAGTCGCAATGCAGGCCCGCGTCGGTACTCTGTACCCTGCCTTCCGCAGCAAGTTCGGCCCCAAGTACGTCTTACGATACCCATACGATTGATCCCTCTCGACTGCGGCTCTTCGAGTGCCTTCGAACTCCCGAAACCCCGAGACAGAAATCACGCACCGAGCAACGGACCAAGAGAACAGTAGGCTGACTGATTGAATCTAGGTACAACACCATCCCTAACGTTGGTGGCTGGACCATTGCCTCCGTCGTTAAGCTGTGAGTTGCCCTCTAGACTCTACGCCGGGCATCCGGTATCACGATTCCGTCCCTTGGCTCAAGAAGCCGACACTGCCATGACCACTGTTCCGCCGACATGGAAGTCACAAATGACGACATGAGGCGACGAGGGGATATCGGATGCCGTCAGAAGACAGAGATGAACACAATTGGAAAACTTGGAATGGGTTGGCTGACCTATTGTGCTAGCGGAACCCGCGCTGCTGGTTTCGGCGCTGCCGCCGGTGTTGCCGCCCTCTTCTACACCTCCGGCATCCCGAGAATCCAGAACGACATCCTTGTTGTAAGGCAGACTGCGTCTCCGAAGTGGACTCGCCTGAGAACTGACGCCCACTACAGAAGATCCCCATTGTTGGCCCCAAGTTCCTCAAGGAGGTTCCCCCTGCGTCTGACAACGTGAGCTTCCCTCGAGATCGTACACTACCAAGGCAATATGCTAACATTAGACAAACAGCCATTCTAAATGCCTTTCATGACCCGGCTATGCTTTTTTAATGCTGAAAATGTGGTGAGCATGGTCGAATGAGGTGTTGGGATGGAGGGATGTCCACCCTTCGGGGCTTGTATAAAAGATACAATAGACTCTTTGACTTTAGTTGATGTGTTTGAATAAGGCAGTGATTCGAAAACTAAGTCAACCTAACTACTCTGTGCTATGTATTTTCTACGCATCATCTCAAAACACAGCATTGGTAAAAGTAGTTTTGTTAAGGAGCTGAAGTTCCCCTTTCATGAGCAAGTAGCTTCAGTGAAAGGCCGTGCGCAAACAGTGCGAAGACGCGTAATTGCTGCATCTTCGCCAAATGATGAACTGTTCACTTTCTCCCACCTCACTTGTCTGTGTAAGAGATCACTTGCTGCTGCTGCCAACACTCATTGTTTCCCCAGGCGAAGGCATATTCCCCTAGTTCTCCGACACTCATTTCAGTTCCGTTCCTTCTTTGCCTCTTTTCACATCTTGAGTGATTACATCCAACAGAACCAACAAAAACCCACGGCCAGTCACCTCAATCTTGTCTGCCCTCTGTGCATCTCACATCGAAGATGAAGGCCGTCGAAGCCTTTGTCGACGGACTCAACATCCTGTCCGTCGTCGTTCTCTACTCTCTACTATGGGTCATTACCCCCAAGATGCCCAATCCCGACCCCTCGGGGCCCAAGACAAACAAGATTTACGATGTGCTCATGCGCGTGTCGTACATCATCATCTTCATCCTCGGCTGGATCTGGTGCAGCAATGTCATGGCCCAAGTCGACAAGCCATACCTGGTGAGCTCGGTTTCCCTATGCAAGATTGACACCATTCCACCATTCTGACAGGAAATAGGACGAGATCTTTCATATCCCTCAAGCCCAGAAGTTTTGCCAGGGAAAATGGAGCGAGTGGGATGACAAAATTACCACTCCTCCCGGCTTGTAAGCCGCCATTCTCACTGGACCCATCACCATACCCAGCTAACAAATTTCCAGATACATTCTATCAAAATACTATCTGCAGGTGATGATGAGACCTGGCTGCTCCGTCCTCGATCTCCGTGGCGTCAACATCATCGCCGTGCTTGGCGTCGGCATCCTCGCAACTCACTGCCGCCACCTCCTCGAGACTCGCCGCCCCGACGCCAAGTCCCCAGCACCCCCAGCAGTGCTCTCCTTCCACGCGATTCACCTGGGCTGGAACATTGCCCTCTTCCCTGTACTATTCTTCTTCTCGGGTCTGTACTACACCGACGTCGTCTCGACCTTGTCAGTCCTTGTTGCCTACTACCACCATCTTCACCGCGTCCGTAAGGAGCGCAGTTCTTTCTTGAGTGACTGGATCACTATTGTCCTCGGCGTCTTGACTCTTGTCATGAGACAGACCAATGTCTTTTGGGTTGTCGTGTACATGGGTGGCTTGGAGGCTGTCGCCGCTGTCAAGGCCCTCCGTCCTAATCCGGTGGCTAAGCCCAGCATGAAGACACTCGGCGAGGTTGTGAAGTTCTACGGGTGGAGATACTCTGTTGGGGAAGTCCACGATCCGCCTCTCAACACAGCTTGGCCAGATGGTGAGTCTACTGAAACACGGGTGGAAGGAATTCTACTGACATGGGTAGACTTATTCTTCTCCGCCCTGAGCATCGGCATCGCGGCTCTAGCTAACCCTCTTCGCGTGCTGAAGAAGGTCTATCCGCACATCACCATCATGGCCCTCTTCGCCGGCTTCGTTGCATGGAACGGCGGCGTCGTGCTCGGTATGTTTCCTCATAGAACTCCAACGAATACAAGGACTAACATGCCGTCAGGCGACAAATCCAACCATGTCGCGACAATCCACCTCGCCCAAATGCTCTACATCTGGCCTCTCTTCGCCTTCTTTTCTTTCCCCCTCTTCCTACCTTCCGCCTTTGGGGTCCTCCGTTTCGTTCACGGTCTCTACCGTACCACCTTCAAGACGAGCACAGTCAAGCCCGCAGACTCCGATAGCAGCACACACGGCCGCAAGCACGCTCTCAGCGGACCTGCTCAAGGTAGCTCTTCAAAGAAGCAGAAACTCCAAACTGAAGTCTCTACCGAGCAACTCGATTCAGCAACCACCCCAACAACCTCCCTCATCCTCATCACCCTCCAGAAACTCATCGGGTCCAAACTCTACCACGTCCTCCTAACACCCGCCCTCCTCCTCCTGACTCTCCTCGTTGTAAGGTTCAACACCATCATCCACCCCTTCACTCTCGCAGACAATAGACACTACATGTTCTACGTCTTCCGCTACACGATCCGCCGCCCGGGCCTGTTCCGCTACTACCTCATCATCCCCTACACCCTCGCCCGGTGGCTCTGCTGGGACGCACTCGCCGGCTGCGGCCAAGGCGGGTTTCTCTCGGACCACACCGCAGAATGCTCGGGACGGCACACCGCGCTTCGTCCCGGACCATGGCAGAATAACCCCTTTAGTACCGCAACCCTGTACCGCGAAGAAAAGCCCCCTGCAACAGAGCCTGTTGACCACTTGAAGGCCATCACAGACGCAGAAGGGAAAGAACTCAAGGACCGCCACAACCCATACGCCATCATCACCCTCGCAGACCAGACATCCTACACCACAGAGCCCACCGCCTCATCGACCGCGATTCTCCTCCTCCTCGCGACTACGCTTTCGCTGATGACGGCGCCCCTCGTCGAGCCGCGCTACTTCATACTCCCCTGGGTCTTCTGGCGCATTCTCGTCCCGGCATGGAGACTCCACGATCACGCTGCCACACATCCGGTCCTCTCAAAGGCCGAGAAGTTGCCCATCCTGGGCTCGTTGGTCAGGTTCGGAAAGAAGTTTGATGTGCGACTTGTGCTAGAGACTCTCTGGTTCGTGCTTGTCAACTTGGTCACCATGTATATATTCCTCGCCAAGCCGTACCTATGGAGAGCAGAGGATGGCAGGGTATTGGAAAATGGTCGGTTGCAGCGGTTCATGTGGTAGATGGATCACTGCCCTGCGTAAAGAAATTCACCTCCTGAAGGCTAGTCAATACAGACTCGTGGGCAAGAATCGAGGTAGAAGAAATGTAAAAAGTGACTTTGTCCATTTGTTTTGCTCAACTTGATGCTTTTCTCTTGCACTCTCACGTGTGCTCTTAGCCTTTTTCAGGTTGCTATTTGATTCAAAAAAGAAAAGTCATAATCCTTCCAAAACGCCAGTGGCCTCATGATTCTGAGGATTTGTCCGATATGTTCCCATCGATGTATCGTTAAAGGGGGCTCATTGATGATGCCGATTTCCCAAGTTCCGCCTATATACCCATTTCATGTTTAAAAGCCTTCGTCGTGTCTGATCATTCTTACGATCACCCGTGTCGCCGTCATCCGTCGTCGTCGTCATCATCATCGCCGTCGCCGCCATCCTTCACTTCTATAAACTCAGTCGATCCAGACTCAGGCCGTCGTTACTGCGCACCCTCCTGACTACGCCCAGCTTGAAGAACTTTTCCTCGCCGCCGGCAGTCCGCCCTCCGATGTACCATTTATCGGCACCTAATACATCGCGGAATCCTTCACTGCTGCTGTCGCTTCCGCGCCGTCGGTTGGCGCTACCGGGAATGGGGATGCCACCCCGCGGGGAGTGAAGTGGGTATTGGTTCACGACTCCCGATGTCGAACGGGTCGTCGAGTTGGCGTTAGCGTTGTTTCCGCCGCTATTTGTTGATGTATTCGAGGAGATGGCTCGTGGCGCTGAAGCGGCGGATTGTGTGGCGTACGATGACGATGATGTCTGCGTGGTATGCTTATTCGGTTGCTGCGATGACAGCACCGTCGCCGAAGGAGACTGTTGTCTAAAGGAGTTGAAGAAGGTGGAGAGGAAGAAAGGTCGTTGAGAAGGCATCGTGGATGTGTCGAACCGCGATGTCATCGGTCGCCTTTGCCGTACTGTGGTTGTATTCGTAGTATGCAGATCGAAGCCGCACCCGGTCGTGCGTGTGTCGTTGCAGAAGAGTGAGGAGATTGCCGTGTTTTGACGTAAGACGTGACGGGGAGGTTCCGCCGACGAAAGGGTAAAAAAGCAAGCGCTTCGGTTGGGGACCCCTATTCTCCGGTATGATATCCCTCTAGGTTGCTGGGGTTTATGCTGTCATCCGTGCCCGAGCCGGGTCGATCCTAGGGCAAGACGTCCAAGCTTGCGCTGCAAGACGGTTTCGCACGGGGAAGAGAAATGAGGAGCCGCAGCGAGGCGAGAGGGGCACTCAAACTGGGGATTCCGTTGTTTGTAGGCTCGTCAGTGTGTATGTAGAAGCGTCGCTCAGGGAACCGAGGGGTGACGGCAACAGAAGGGTCGTTATCGTGGGTGATTTATGGTGTTTGGCGGGGTGAAGAGGCAGTCTCGATCCTGCGCGCGGTATTTCGATCGCGGAAGCGCCTTGGGGTGGACTCGGATGAGTGATCGGCGTAGAGGTGCAGGCTTGCAGCGCAGGCGCGATACGGGCGGGATGGATGGGATGGGGAAGTTGGCTGACTGAGTCTTCGCTGCGGGATGGTGCTGTATGTCGGGAAGAAAGCGGCGTGCGTCGGAGTACTTCGCGTGTGCCCTGGTCTCTGGCTCTGGCTGTCGAGTCAAGTCGCAGTGGGGGAGGGTGGTCGAGTAGGCGTCGGATGCAGGTTTGTGTGAGATAAATCCTGACGTCGACACACTTGTGGCCCGCCAAACTGGATGTGGGAGGGGTGGGAGAGCCAGGGGGCGAGTGGAAGAGTCGGCTGGAAGAGGAATGGTGATGGCAGATGAGAGGCACTTGAGTGAAGGGGGGGAACACTCACGCACTCAAGTCTCGCAGTCTGCACTCTGGAGAGTCGCAGGACTGCCCTTTCCCCCGTTCGGCCAATCCCGGAATCCGGGAGTTGGACCTTGCGACCGACTGGCGTGCACGGGCTTAGGTCCACTTGTGAGTAATTACCGGCTTGCCATAGGTTCATCTAGGGACTTGGCAACAGAGTCTCGAGACTTTTCCCCTCGGGTCCTGTCCCGGCGTGAGGGGAAGAGAGATACGTATCCACATGTACCGACTAACACCGACCTTGTGGGGGGTCTCGGCTTCTTGGAAAAGTCGGGGCAGGAATGAAGACCACCCTGAGGACCGGCGTTTCCTTCGTCCACTCACATCCGCCGCTTATCTTATCTTATCCGAGGTCAATCATCTGTCACCTCTTTTCCATCCGTCAGTCATTTCTCTCAGTTCTCGGCTGTGTCTGCGTCCCAAATCTTCTTCTATCCGATATATGCCGTGACATATCCGTACGGAGTACTCAGTTGACTGAACAAACTTGGCGTCGTGGTCGTCTTGGGTAGCATCACCCCGGATCTAGGTACCTATGGGAAGCTTGCTTCTCGAAAGCATCCAGCGCTATCTGTCACTCGAAAGTCTGAATCCTTCCCCTCCAAAACCGTTAGTTTCTCGTCGAAAGGCTATCCCCACACACATCGCAAACCATGAACTTAGATGCTTCGGTGCCTGCTCCTTGCTATTTGTACATGATCTGATAATACAAAGCCCGTTTGATTCAGACCCCGTCCTATTCGCCGGGGCCCGGGTAAGGCTCATCAGCGTCACGCAGATCTGGAACCGAAACGCCAGGAGAGACGCAGGCTACGCAGCGGCACAGCTGCGCAGGATTTCCACGTGCAGCCACATTTCTGCACTTCGCGCCTGGTCTCCTTGGTTGGCATATGTTGGCACTCGGTTGATCGGGTGCCTCTTAGGAACCCGTTCGCTCGCCCCGAGATAGCTCAGCTTGTCAACATGAATGACAGGTCGCTTGCGGCCCGCCATGTTTGCTCCGGGAATCCTTGACGCTGCTACCTAGTCTTGGACGCTGCGCTGCCTCTCACCTCGAGGTCCTCGACGCATCCGTGGTCGGTACACCTACAAAGCCTTCCTCCTACCGCGGCACCTAGTGTAACCTCGTTCGCCAAGCGTCACGAGACGTACTACCCCCGCCGTCCTTGGCCCCTTGGGTCAACTTTCGCTACGGAATATCAGGTACTGTAGCATCAAGGCGACGTAAGAGTGAAGATGCACACTCTTGTTCGCAGCAACAGAAGCAAAACTGTAACCTTACCACCAAAAGAGGCCCGTCGCCTTGGGAGAAGGGTTTCATTGGTCTTCTCGTCTGAAGTCGCCGACCTGTTGTAACACCCACCTACTCTGACCTTGTCGGTCTTGACTTTACCCCTCGGTTCAGCTTCAGCTTGCAGCCGTTCGTCGCCTATTTTCCGCATTCAGACCCATTCCATCTCAGATGGTGCTTGTTCCCGGTGTCAGCAAACAGAATCCTCATTGTGGGCACGATCGTACGACTGTCACCCGCCCTGTACTTCCTCTGCCATCCTTCCCGTGAAATCAGGCTCGATGGGTTTCCGTCCAACCCCTCTCTTGACCGAGTCAGCGCCGGCCTACCGGGAGTTCCCCTCTTGGAGCGTCTCGTCCGGTGTCTCTCCAGGTTTCTTCCGATCCCATCTTATCTAGCGATAACCATCCTCAAATGCTTTGGAAACTTGCGGGGTTTTGCGGGGTTGTTCAGGCGGGATGCAAGCCACACACTAAGCCACCTCCCGGCACTTTTAGATGCGGAACAGCACCTCAAAGATCTACGGCTCAGTGGCATGGCAAATAACACACCGGAAAAGACTTAGTCTAGAGAGACGATTGATTCGCATAGGTTGAGATTCCTCTCTTTGAATTAAGCCAACACTAGAAAGAGCGCCTGAAGAATGTTGTTGATGTTAGAGGATTCAACTATCGGGAGGTCAGAGCACAACCAATGACTATATGCCTCCCTCGCAAGACGATTACATATTAAGAAATGAAAGAATAATGACAGTAGATCCATTTTCAGCTGTTCTCTGAATTTGTTCGGTCGTTCCTCTTTTGTTTTCTTCTTGTTGGAAATTCCCTGGGACTGAAGGATGTAAGGTAATTGAGTCGGAGAAGGATATGGAATCAGTTGTTTTCAATCAACTAGCTTTTGCCGTTCTGTGATACTTGCCTCAATTTAAAACACAATAAAAGGAATATTTTCAGACATAGTGAACACCTCACAGCTCCTGAATATGACTTCTGGTCCATATCAGGACAGCAATCGGATCGGCAAAATCCCAGGTACATGTTAACTGTCAGCTCAATGGCAAAGTTGATTCATCAAGACACTGGGTAATATTAAATTGGGAAGAGATTCATTAGACAATTTCACTGAATCCAGAGACGCAAAGAAGAAGCGTTGGAATGTTGAGTCCTTGGCATATCAGGAGCAGCAGGAGACTTTCAGAAAAGGAATTCTGGCATGTAATTCTCATAGTTGTAGACTCGTACTAGTGGATGTCAAACCGACTGAGCCTACTTCAGTACTCTTATGGTCACATTGTCCTTCATTCATAGTACGTAGAACGGTCAGGACGCCGTTTCACTTTTAATACTCCCAATTATGGTGATTTTTGACCACATTCACCCACACATGTTCACTGTGTTTAAGAAGAAGCAGGTACTGGCAGGTAATTTAATGAGCATTGAGAGTCGTAGTCTACCCAAGTAAGAACTATCTATCCTTCGTATTGCCACTCTCTGTTAAACCTCCCCATTTTCTCGCCAATCGTTGGCTTATCCCTTAGCCATCAAAACTATGCCAAATTCGTCCCCAAGGCACAGCCCGGCACTACCTGTTGTGTAACTCGGTATATACAACTTAGCAGTTGCCGAGGAGCTTGAGCTGCCAGCCAGCAGGGTGAGTCTGGGTGCTGATGAAGCCGAGGCCACAGCTGGAGGTGGCGGTGATGAAGTAGTTGCGGCCGTTGTAACTGACGGAGCCCTGTCCATCCTTAGGGATGCAGGCGGTGCCGATCTGGAAGTTGTTGGCGTCGAGGACCTGAACTCTGCAGTTGGCAAAGACGGCAACGGCCTGGGCGGCGACGGCGATGATGGCGGAAGTCTTCATTTCTATGATCGAGTTAGCTGTTCTGACTCTTGGATGATGAGAGGAAAACCGCTTACTGATGGTTGGTAAGGGGGTTCCTTGGTTGAAGAGTTGGGTTTTGGTTGTTGAAGGTTGTTTGGATTGTAAGATGAGAGGATGGTGTGTTGGTGTCTGGAATATCTCGACTGAGGGTGGAAAGAGTCTGTCTTTATAGATTTCTCGAAGGCAACACGAGGCTTGGTCTAGCTCTCCATGAGCTTACGCGATCAAGGACCACACAAAATCCATGAAGCATCAGAGTACAGGACTATGTAACAATGACTCGTGTTGTCGTTGGGCTCAGTCGTTCCGAAGACGAGGCTTGATAGCCCCTCCTCACGATCTTGACACATCAATCTGAGCGCCGCCCACGCCAACTGCCTGATGAGAATCGAGAGGCCGCCAAGGCGAAGCCACTGGCCGAGATCACCACATTCGTCCCATCGTACGACTTGCTTAGCAAATTCTCGCTCAAATTCATGCGATAGAAGAGGAAGGTCAGTATGGCAGACAGTCAGAAATGCACCATTGCCTTAGAGAATGATAAAGACTGGAAGGTCTTTGACTCTTGGTGGAGATAATAGAATCTCTATACATGCCATCAAGCGGTATTAAACAAGAGACAACTCGCAGTCAAAGTGATGTATCAACTCTTCCTATGCAGGGTCGAGATATCCCATCGGCTGTAATCACGGATGTGGGACCCGGGCGGGACGGCCCTACGGCCATGCAGCTGTCAATGACCCGGTGGGCAACTAGGAAGATTTTGACAGGTAGACGAATCCATAGAAGGCTAGCATAAGGCGGTTATCCCACAAGATGCAGGGACTCGATCTCGTAGGTAACATCTAGGGGTCCAACTCTAAAAAGTCAAGACATAGCCTTACTCGGGGGCCGGGTTCTTTTGGGCCATGACAGCTCAGCGCCATGACAGATCACATCGGCTGAATCAGGAATCTCCGAGAACGACTTGACATGACTCTGATGCCTTTGTCGAGCTAGTATGGGTGGCGGAGCCGAGACCGGCTCCAATTTCAGCGGATGTGATGATGCCCATTGAATAATGCTGTCGATTGCAAGAGAATTCCATAATTCGGTCCGGAGCGGTCCGAGGCCGGGAAAACCGGCACTTTGGGCGGAATGAATTCCCAAGGAGAGAGGTCATCTAGCTGAAACGTGAATTGAAAAACAAAAGACGAGATACCCCGGGTGGCTTCACCGAGACAATAGCCCACTCAAGCATCCAGTCCACGATGTGGCAAATGGTAGCTGTGGTATTGTTGGTCTACATAACTCCAGCCTGGCTCAATTAGCAGAACACAACAAAATAATGGCGTGTCAGGCAACTCATCTTGGTGTTACACAGTGTTATTGACCAAAGGGTCAAGAGATACAGTCCGTTAATAGTTAAAAATCGCTGCAGCCCTTTAATTTAAGCCTCAAGTACTTAACCAAAGTTTCTAGTGTCGAAAAATCTTCAAGTAGCAGAAAACGTTTTTAGAAAGAGGCCTATCAATGCTCCCGTATGTTCAACAGTTATACAAGAGTTGAAAGAGCAATGTAATAAGACAGAAGAATATGAGATAATAGACTGAAGTATGAGCCAAATTCTCATACGAACACGGCCTCGCCTAACTCTGCTTCTTTTTGATGTAGAATCGTCCAAAGAGTTCAAGATTGCCTGACTGAATCTAACGCCTAAAAAAATGGAAGGTTGAGATATTGGTTCGTCTTTCTCTCAGTTTTCCAAAGTTTCTTATTCCTTTTCCTATCGCAAAAGGGAGCCTTTCGATGATGACAACTATAAAGGACAACTTTTGTTCGACGCCTAATGCCACAGGCAGCCTGTGAGTGAGGCAGTGACCTGAGGCTTGTGAGGCTACACCGAGACAACAGATATGTGTCCTTAGGGTTGCACGCTGATCTCACGGGTACATCCCTCTGGATCGTGGCAAATGACCTAATTGGTCTGCCTTGCACAAGTCTCATTTTACAACTGCTATAAGTAGGATTGGCCGTCTGTGAGGGTGTGTCAGCTGCACCTCTTCAAATCCTCCCTTGAGCTCCGTGGTAAGGCTCTCAAGCCATAATTTGGCTTACCTCCCAAACATTTATAAAAGCTTCGCTGGCTGATTTTTTTGAAAGGAAAACTCAACATCTACAATCCAGGACCGACGGATCTCGGAGCTTGCTTCTGAGCACTCCCAACACAATGGGCATCGCGACACCAGGTAGACTGGCCATCTTGGCTATATTTCTTACCTTTCAGATCGTCTATCTAGGCATCGAAGCTTCCTTCCATTTCTTCTTTCACAAAAAGATGACCCGTCAATCGCTTCTACTCTTCCAGTACTTGATCGCACCCATATCTGTCGGCATTTTTGGGATAATTACTATCCCGATTATTTTCGATCTCGAAAAGGGCTTTGGAAAAGACACTTTCACAAAACCGACCTGCCGAGCTGAGGTTGATGCCGATGTAGGAGGATATGGTATTCGTATAGCTATCTGGGCACAAGAATTCGTCATCTTTTTCATTGCCTTGGCTGGAACATTCCACTCAAAGGTCACTGGTGCCAAGGAAATTGGCGCTGGCCTTATCATCACTCACTTCTCCCTGGCTATTGCTGTACTTGTTCAACTCATCCAAGTGAAAGAGAAGGATCAGGAGAGACGCAGTATACTCACCTCGGCGAGTGCAATCCTTGGGGCCATGATTCTCGACTCGCAGAACATGGCTCTTTCGATCATCCTCATCAACAAACAGACTCTCGCATCCAGGTGGCAAGTCGGCATAGTGATCTTCTGCCAGGCCATGAGCATGGTGCTCATACCCATCTTAGTTCGAGGATTCCTCGGTACACTATCCGATACGCACCTAACTCCAGATGACAAGTGCAAATCTATCCAAGTGTTTTGGTGGGGAAAGCTACGGAACTTCTTCTACAACGAAGACCCGTCAATCGATTCCAAGAGAAACGAACCAAGCGTGTTCTGGTTATACTACACATTCAGATGTGTTGTCTACATTCAGAGCAGTTTCCATGGGCTCATGAATACACAGATCTTTCACAAAGCCGAGAAGAATCCCACGGGCACTCTCAAGGGCATAACGCACCCATCTTTGGGTGAAGACTACAACGAGGTCTCGGGACGATCTTGGCGAGGCAGACTTCGAGCTTGGCTTGGAGCACACTCGCAGGACATGAGATATGCCTTATACCCAACAACGGTATCGCTCATGTACATCGTTTACGGACTCTTCATGGTTGCTGCTATGGCCGCAGCGGAGATATCGATTGGAGACGAAAAAGGTGTCTTCAAACTAGAAGGCGGTCGAGCACTATCTGTCGGCCAGATCGTAGCGATTGTTGTCGCCGCTATAACAATTGCCCGTGGACTGTGGCTGTTCTTCATGTTGTTCATCAAGGGTGGAGAAATTCGGAACATCAAACAAGGATTCAGATGGCCACTACACCTCCACTTTTAGGAATGAGGGCATCTGAGGACGTGTTTGCGACATTTGGATCAGCTGCTTGAAGTCTGGAGGACCATAGCATCGGTGGAGGGGGAACAATTGCTTCAAAGCCCTAACGGTAATACTCATGGAAGATGACGAGACGCTCTTTCTCTGTTCTTCGGCTAGACATGGCCGACTAGGGGCTTGATTTGTTGTGGCATAGTTTCCACATGCCCACTTCGTGGGCTGCCCGTGCTTTCATGCTAGACTCAGCCATAATAGCAAGTAGCAGAAGCAGGATGGATGTGCAATTGACGAGAAAGTACACGTAAAACGTGAAGGGTTTAGTCGTGTGGACTGTGTTGTGTGTCAATCGAAGATAAAGGGCTACTGGCGTTACTGACGGAGAAGTCGAGAACTGCACTCAAGTATCGACAGTAGGTAAGGTACGGAGTAAATTCCATAAGGATAAGGCACTTGAACTCGAAGATCTCCGTGCCGATGTAGGAGAAGGCCCACTTCCGGCCGAGTTCGCGGGCCCGAATGACATTTCCGGTTGTTGAGCCACATCACGTGGTCGGACGAGCATCGGCCGAGGCTCAGCCACCCATTTCTAAGCGGAAGATTCGAGAAGGTAATGACAGCCGCAAGTCCCGGGCGAAGGTGGGGTTGGCGGAGAAAGCGACCCTTGGAATCCACGTCCAACCCATCGGCGCGGGTTGGCGGGGGTCCCGCGTTCAACGTCCACTGGAGTGGTGACAGCAGCCAACACGTACTGCAGCAGCAGCAACGTCGGAGGGCAGTGAATCTTCGACTGGCACACCATAGTGACGCCCCGAGGCTGAGCTGCAGCAGCCGGTGTGCCCAACGGCTTCTCCTCCACACCAGCCGAATGCCAGTCTCATCACCGAACCAATTTCCCTGACTGCAGTCCGTACGCCTCAATACGCATTGAAGGTCACCCTCCTTGGCTTCTGCGCAGCCTTCTGTCTCGGTGTTCTGATCCTCGACAGACATCTTACGGGCTGATTTCTACTTGGACGGCGAGACTCGCCAAGGTTGCACCGTTGCATTCAGCGTCTACCTTGCATCTTTATAATACGACTGAATACCTGTTCTTCCAGCCCGCCGCTGAGCCGCCTCCTCCGCTTGTTAGTTCCAATCCTACAATATTGGGCTGGAACTGTACTCTCCGAACAGCAACTACACATTGCAAAGGGAACAACAGAATAATGTCGAGGTCAATACAGCTCAAGGAAGAAGGCAATCGCCACTTCCAGCAGGGCGACTATGCTGGCGCGGAGGCCCTGTATTCCAAGGCGTAAGCTTCACCTAAACGGATCCAGAGCCAGCCCCAGCCTGATCCACCTGCTATGTGTTCCGGACAGCTAGACATGGCAATCATATCGAGTGAGAAGCTAATTCTTGGTCTATTATAGCATCATTGCCGACCCGAAGAACCCCGCTCTATACACCAATCGCGCAATGGCACGCCTCAAGCTCGAGATATGGGATTCGGTTGTGTCCGACTGCGAATCGTGTCTCGGACTTACAGCCGACAACCTCAAGGCCCACTACTACCTCTCCCAAGCCCAGCTCGCCCTCAAGGACTACGATTCGGCCCTCACGAATGCCCAAAAGGCCCACCAGCTCTGCGTACAGACCGGCGATAAGTCACTCGCGGCCATCACCGCCCAGGTGTTGCGCGCGAAGAAAGATAGATGGGATTGGATGGAGAAGCGGCGAACACGGGAAGCACGACACCTCGAGGACGAAGTCATTGAGCTGATGGAGAAAGAACGTGAACAAGCCCTTACGAACGCAATGGACGACGGGGAAAAGAGGGAGATTGAGGCTGAATGGGAGCAAAAGATCGAGATACTGAGGAGTACCTTTGAGAAGAGTCGCTCTGCCGAGGAGAAGAGACGTGAGGTTCCGGAGTGGGCTATCGACGACATCAGCTTCGGCATTATGGTCGATCCTGTACTTGTGAGTTAGTCAACTTGCTGCTTGCTTGCTGCCTACTAACACAATCTTAGACGAAGACTGGAAAGTCATACGAGAGGGCATCCATCATGGAGCATCTCCGTCGCCACCCGAGCGATCCCCTCACACGCGAGCCCCTACTGCCATCCGAGTTGAGACCTAATCTTGGCCTTAGACAAGCCTGTGAAGAGTTTCTCGAGGAGAACGGCTGGGCGGTGGACTGGTAGTCTTACGGAGTTGAGCTTGCAAACATGTTGGCGGCACCCTCTGATTTCAATCAATTGCATAGCACGGCGTTCATGGTCTCATTGGGCGCGAAGAATACCGAGTTGGATACGACTTCGCAATCGCTACTCAGCGACTATAGACCTCGGGGAAGCTTTTCTCAGCACACAATTCCGCTCCCAAAGTCTAGAAGGGAACAAGAATGCAACCTAGCTTAGATGTTGTGATCATTTGTGGATAGACTGGAGTGTCTTAACGCATGACAGCACCTGAAAGCAGTTCCTGACGGAGCTTTGGCTGCTAGGATATTGATGGTATTCGTCTTACGGGCCACTCAACCCTGAAAGCTTTAATAGACACGACTCGCATGAAAATTTCGGGCTAGCCTTGATCGTTGCGTCAAGGTCAAGAGTAGTGCTCCCTAGTATCGTCCGTCGCTACAATCAGTCAACACCAACTTAGCTGCGTTGATTGACTGCTACATGCATTCAAGGCTTGAATTGAAAGCTCCTCTGTGAAAGTGACTCACTCTTTAGGTTTGAAGAGACAATAATCCCGCTCTCGAGGTTGGACTTCTGTCGTGTAAAACGCCTCTACTGCGGGTGATGCAGCGGTCAAGTTGCATTCCTCCACATCAATCAAGCTCACAGGCCGTTATTACGAAAAGCAAGAAATCCCGATATAGAGGTAGGCATGTGAGAGCATGGCACTGGATCGGCACGCCCGTTTTGCCAATTGCGTGAACCATCGTGAGGCTTTCGGGTCGAACACGAATATGTACTTGGGGAGGGGGGAGAGAAGTATGTAAAGGGGCGCCACTGATGCGATGTCTATCTTCTCGACCACAACCAGCCTTCTCTTTTGTTTGACTCCTCAGACCTCTCTTTTTCTCTATCTTCTCTTATTGTGACAGGGTAGAATCAGACGAAGTCAACATCTTAATTACAGAAGTTTTCCAGACTGAGCGAGATCCTGACTTCTTCTGACCTCGCTCATCCAATTAGAACACCGAAAGACTGGCCGTCTCGGTCTGGCATCAGGCGATGCAGTCTTCCGCTCACAGCCTGTTGCTGTCCAATAAGATACATAAGTGACAATAGCCACCAGACCTTCCATGTGTATTTCCTGGGTTACGGAAGTAGCCCAAGCCGCCAAGGTTGGGAGACAATCACGTCAGGCTGCGCGGCTACTTTTTCCGCCCAACATGTTCTTGAACTCTGTTTTCGAAAGCACATTGATCTAGACCAAACTCAGACATTGTCCCGTTATAACGCGACTGCTACTTCGATTTGAGATTGCAGCCAGCTAACTAGCGACAACTTGTTTCGCTATATTGAAGCTGAGTCTTTGTTTGTGCCAGCTATGCCACCTCTACACACCATTCCGACATCTAATCGATTTGGCGTTTTATCCAATAACGGGCATCGTACAACGTAACCGACAACATTGTCTCAGTCCGCAAGCCAACATGATACTGCTATGGTTACCGATACAAACGTACACGAGGGCAATGGTCATAATTCGGAGTGGGTAATAGTCGAGAACAAACCGAAAAATGACTTGAATCCTGAATATGTGGGATGCATCTTGAAGCCCCCCGAAGCGTTGCCCAAGGGATTCATCGATGGCCTACCCCAGCGAGCCTATGGTCATTTCTTCGTCATCTGCGAAGTTTCAGGCACTGGGAATATCAAGATATGCATGGTAAGTCGAACCTAGCCAAGTGAATACATAGGGTTTACTCTAAATTTCATGGCCTCAGATCACCTCAAATTGTAAGGCCAAACAGAAGAAAATGCGAATCAGAGGGAGCGAGGAAGAACGCCCCGAGTCTGCGGAAGAGCTTGTGATCGAAGGCACTTGTCCTCTTCAGGTCAGGTCTTGGCTCAAAGTTGAAGAACGATATGGAATAAGCGCTTTGAGATGGGCTCATTGCGCCGAAGGTCTTCTCGTACCGGGGTGCCGATTGTCTGTCAAGTCGATAAAGAAAGTCAGGCGGGCCGATATCGACTAATATGCTCCTACTCAAGGAGTGAATGGACTCGAGTTTACTCAGTTTGATTGATTTAAGTATAGTATATGCTTCCATCGTTTCTACCTGGCTCAAAATCCATCGTCTAAGCTTGCTCAGAACTACATGGTTATCTGAGCTATACTTAGTGCCTACATTTATTTAGTTCGTTGAATATTTTGCCCTATTGTCGGGCATTAGTGCACCATGAATCAAGCTACGTGGATTGTTTTTGAAACTTAGCTCATCTTCTCGAAATGAAATCATGTCGTCGTAAACGAGATATACATGTTGATTTAATGATATCGAATAGCGCCAGATGAGGCACATGAGCCTGATTCATGACACAAGAGGGGAAACAACAAGTGCGCTCAAGAAAATCACCTCGTGGCTGGTCCATGAAATCCATGATTTTGTATCGGACATAAAAGAGCTAAATCTTGCTAAATGCTATTTTGCGTTGCATGTACATGGGCCGGGTTAAACTGAATTCCGCCCCTTGAAAATAAGCGTGCTTCATGATCGTCATTCCCTCTATGCGGTCTTGCCCTTGATGATGTCGGCAGCCTAAAATCAGAATTGTTAGCGAACGACCTCAGATACGGTTAAGAAGCGCTTAGTGGCGTTGAGTAAAGCTTACCTTCTCAGCAACAGCATAGACTGTAGTCATAATGTGAGTGGCAGGAACAAGAGGCATGATGCTGGCGTCAACAACGCGGAGTCCGCTGATGCCATAGACCTTCAGGCTGGCATCAACGACACCGCCCTCCTCTCTTGCGCCCAACTTGCAGGTACCAACGGGATGGAACAAAGTACCACTCTGTTGGCGAACGAAGTCGGTGATGGCAGCGTCAGTGGTAACGTTAGCGCCAGGAACGACCTCGAAGGGCTGAAGGGGCTTGACGGCGTCGGTGCCGGCGATGGTGCGAGCGAACTTGACACCCTCAACCAAGAAAGAAACATCGAGGGGGTTCTTCAGGAACGCGGAGTCGGCGGTGGGAGCATCGAAAGTGCTGGAGGAAGCAGCCTTGAGGGAGCCACGGGAGTAGGGGTGCTGGAGACCGAGAACAACAACACCATCGGCCCAAATCAGCTCGAGGAGTGCAGAGTCGGTGGCGGTAAGACGTTCATTGAGGACCTTCTGTTGTGCTTGGTATCCCTTAATCACCTCAGCGGGGGCGCCTGAAGGCAAGAAAGTGGTTCCATCCTGAGCGGACGCCTCGGAGCTGAGGGTATCGACAGCCTTGGAGTATGTCGAGAGCGGGAGGAAAGTGAGGAAGTCACCGGTGGGAGAGCTGAGAGGGCCGTTCTTCTGGCTGTCGTACTGGGCTCTGGCCTCGGCGGCGAAGGTGGCGTTGCTTTGGAGCAGAGAGCTGACGGGCAGAGTGGTATTGACTAGATTTTCAAGTCAGCTGGCGTCAGGACAATATTCAGATCACATTTTCTTTCATACTGGTGTTGACAACAGTCAGCATCACGTGGTCGTGGAGGTTCTGGCCAACGGCGGGGAGATCGACGACAGTAGGGACGTTGATGCTAGTGTGCAGAGCCGGGTCGCCAATGCCGGAAACCTGAAGAATCTGGGGCGAGTGCAGAGCTCCAGCAGCCAGGATGACTTCCTTGGCAGCGGTGGCAGTCTGCGCCTGAGCACCTTTGCTGGCGGCAAACTGAACACACCATTAGCTGGATGACCCCATTTCAACGGTTGAGCAGCCTAAACTTACCTCAACGCCTGTAGCCTTGATGGCATCCCCTGATCCGCTGGTGACAACCTTGGTAACCTGGCGTCCGGTGAGAAGATGGAGGTTCTTGCGTCCAGTGAAGTTATCGTAGTAAGCCTCTCTGGCGGAGGAACGAGTGGAGGAAGTTGGGTCCTGGTTGTGAGGGCAGAAGTAACCTCCAATCGGGCTACCATTGGCCTGGTCCTTCGCAACGGTGATCCCAAGCTCCTTGACAGCGTCGATCATGAACTCTATTTAGGAGGTTAGATCGTGTCCCTAGACATTACGATGGTTTTGAGTAGGAGAAACGCAACTAGTTGTAGGCCAAAAGAAAGGCGAGTAGGTGACCTGCATCAATCCATCGGTGCCGTGAGCAGCATCATCGACCTGAACGCCCCACTCAGAGACGATGTCGGCCTTCGGGGGTGTGAACTTCTCGTTCTGTATGGTGAAATAGAGTTAGATTACCGACACGATTTACCTTCACGATTTTCACTAGGGGACAAAAGCACTTACCTTCTTGAAATAAGGAAGCAAAGAATCCCAGTTCCATCCAGTGGCTCCGAGGCTTTCCCAACGATCGTAATCAGACTTTGAGCCCCGGTCGAATACCATGCGGTTAAGCTTAGTTGAACCTCCAACAACTCTTCCCTGGGGAATCGAGACGGACCGGCCTCCGAGGGCGTCGTTTGCGGCGTAGGTCGTGTTCCAGTCGTACTTGGTTCCAACGGCGCCGCCAGCCAATCCAGGAATTTTAACGTAATCCTCGCCCGCGTCACTATAAGTTGTACGTCAGAACATGAAAAATTTGTTAGTCCGTTTGGGTAATCTCACAGATCACCGGCCTCGATCACAAGAACAGTAACGGCTATGACAAGTTAGTTATTCGACTCGTTGATTGACGCTTTACAATATTTTGCGACTCACCAGGGTCTTCTGAAAGGCGGTTAGCAACAGTAAGTCCACTGGCACCGGCGCCAACAACGATGTAGTCGTAGCTAGGCAGCAGATTTGTGTCGTTCTGTCGCTTGAGACAAACTGAAGGAGAGGACGGACGAGCAAGCGCTCCGAGGAGCGGCATTGCTGCCACAGCCACAGCCATCTTCACGACGTACGCCATGGTGACTAGTGTCTGAGTGGGACTTTAAGAGCAAAGGAACGAGTGTTTGTGCGTATGTACAAAGGTACAGTAACGAGTGAGTAGAGACGCAAGGAGTTGCAGAATTGTATCTCGACTCGGGACGACCCGATATATGATTTGACTTGCCCCTAGAGATGGGACTACTTCGTCTGATAACGACCCTCCAAGACTTCGAATTTGCCTGCTATTGATGCTGCCGGTCTTACCTGCCGATTGTGAACTCTCTTCCCCACAACGGTCAGGGGAAACAAGGCAGCCGAGAGACAAGCGCCGCTCGCGTTAAACGACGACATATTGGCCCAGACCGAGTAACACCTACGGATCCGTACTTGCTCCAGTAGAATGGACCAAAGAAAGACAAGGGGTTACGGGAAGAGCATCAGGGGAAAGGAGGGGGGGCAAGGGCAGGGTCGGACAAATTCACACAACATCCCTGGCTCTATCTGAGCTGTCTTAGGTGGCGCAATATCTGCAGCGTGTTAGCGATTGCTTGCTCAGCAACAACAG